TTTATATCACGAACACTGACGAAAACAGAAGAACACTACGCGACGAATGAGAAAGAAATGCTAGCAATAATATGGTCATTAAAAACATTAAGGAATTACTTATACGGCTTAACCGCAGTTAAAATATTTACAGATCACCAGCCACTAACATATGCCCTCAGTTACAAAAACACCAATAGTAAATTAGAAAGATAGAAAACCATTTTGGAAGAGTATAACTACTACCACGAATACCACTCGATCCGCAAATAAACTCATTGACAACTACAGAACATAGCGACGAGAGTTCAAGCCAAACATTAATACCCTACACAGATGCACCACTAAATGCTTTCAAAAGTCTTCTAATCTCAACAGGAGATATCTCTTCACACCAATTTCAAATCGTTTTCCCAACATATCATAGACACACTATAATAGAAACCGAATTTACTGAGGAAATTCTTACCACACTTTTAAAAAAATTGCTCAATCCCTCAGTCATCAATGCAATAAAAACGGAAGAACATTTCTGCAGATATAGAGTAAAATACACGCGAAAAATAGTAAAAGATCTAACAAATGAATCAGAACAAGACACGGAAATTATAAAGGAACATAACAGAGCACATAGGAATGAGATAGAGAACCAAATTCAATTACTTGAAAAATACTATTTGCCTCAGATGAACGCGAAAATTAAGAATATCGCAAAACCAATATTGAAAGCTTCCCCAATCCCAGAATATCCAGGCCAAATCGTTCACATTGATCTGTATCACACTAATAACAAAGTACAATATACTAACAGCAATAGATAAATTCTTAGAAAACTAATATGGAATTCAGCTAGACAAAACACCCTCCTACACTAGTACCGTAAATGGACAAATAGAACGAGTTCACAGTACATTAACAGAAATAATGCGCTGTATGAAAAGCGAAGAAACCCATATAATTCATTTAAAGATTTAATTTTCAGAGCCATTCATAAATATAACAATTCGATTCATTCAACCATCAAAAAAAACCCGTAGAAGCCTTACGAAGACGAGGACGAAGAGTTACGACTAACCCAGCACAATTAGAAAAAGACAGACTGGACAACATTAAGAAAATCCGTGACAAACAGAAAAAGGACTTAGATTTTCATAATAAGAATAGGACAGAATTCAAGGCATACAATACTGATAATACCGTTTATGTAAAGATCAATAAAAGACTAGGCAACAAACTTACACCTAAGTATAAAAAAGAATTAGTACAGGAAGATAAAGGATGTACAATAGTAACAAAATCAGGTCGAATTGTTCACAAAAGCCACAATAAAAATTAAATAATGACTACATTACCATTACAGGATAGCATGTTTAATTGCCTTGTGCAATGCTGAAACACAAATACTGGACTATACAAACAGCAAAATTGTGACCATAGCAACAGGAAACGCAAAACTCTAAACAGGAACTTTTAAACTGATACATTCAATAAACCTAGATCAGTACGACGAGATAATAGAACAACTAGACACCTCGATAACACATGATATCACTGAAAAGAATTCCCTTTACCCATTCTTATCCCACGAAATAGAAACTGTAAAATCCTTATTATCCCAATTGAAACCTAATAGACTTAAAAAAGCGATAGAAACATTAGGAACTACTTATATGGAAGTGGATAACTGGTTCACCAGACCACGAGGATTTCCAGATAATTAGTGATAAGATTAACAATGTATTAGAAAATAACATTCATCAATTTGTAATAAATAAGTCAATTATTGAAAAAATAAATAAGTTAACTAGTGTAACAAATATGATCTTGAATAATGTAATATCAAGCAATGAATTAAAAGACGAATTAGCAAAAATTGTAGAAAGAAAAATAAGAATATTAAAAGAAGAATTAGTAAATATTGATTATTCTATACAATGGGCTAAGGCCGGAATAATAAATTCATTTATACTATCAAACCAGGAAATAAATGTAGAAAGATAAATTTTTGAAAAAGAAAATGTACCATACCTAAATGTCATAGAAGCTAAGTTTAATATTTAAGTGACGTTAAAATTGTGTTGAATCAATCTAATGTTATTTACATTCGAAGTATACCTATAACGAAGAATGAAATATGCAAAACAATTGTAATAAAACCAGTAAAAAAAAAATAAAAAAACTAATAAAAATTCCATATGAAAAATTAATGATATGTCAAGATAAAACTTATGGAATTAATAATAATTGTAAAAAATTTATTAATATAATAGTTTCTAAGCGAAAAGAATTAGATGATATTTCAAATACAAGCTGTATTTCACGATTGCTTAAAGGGCACTCTTGGAACTGCACAACCATCAACAATCAGCACATACCAATACAGGAAGAAATCCTTCCAGGAACATTACTTATTAATGGTTACAACGGAACAATAAAGATAGATGGAAACCCACTAGAGTAAACGGGAACCTTCATCATAAATTATGTCAACTCCACTATCAATATCCAAGACAAAAGATATTCCAATAAAGAGGCATCACTTGCCAACCCATTACCAGCGATCAGACAATCAACAAACTCTACCACAAAAACCGAAGAAATTTTATCCTTGCAATTGTTACAAGAACTAAATGTAGCTAATATAGCAGAAACAAAATATATTACCAGTCTTTGGACGGGCTCCGCCCAACTATAATAGTCATAATTCTGATCCTCACAGCAGCGAAGAAAAGATACTTAAAGAAAAAACTTACAATAAAAATTACAAAACACAAAACACAGAACCAGGATTCAAACCCCAGGCAAGAAGATACACTAACAATAATCCCAAGCATTCTATCGGTCAACGAGGACGTTGCACGCTGTTAACACTCAAAAGCTTTAACTATACGTTTCCCACGATACGGGAGCGCACCAACAAGAACAATACGTATAAAACGCTGATGCCATGTCTGCCACGCTGGATCAACGTAACAATAACCGGTATACGCGCATCCATTCCGCCAATTCAGCAATAAGTCACCTGTGCCCGCAACGTGATGCAGAAGTTTAGTGTTAAGAATTTAATTGTAAAATTAGTCTAAGTTTTACCTTGCCACAATTAAGACGGCTTCGACCTAAAAAAATTATTTTTTTCATAAATTTAATCTAAAATAATAATAACTTGTGTATTCATGTGTTTGGTTAAAATATGGGCATTTTATTATGATTAAATATTAATAAAAATTCAGACGTGTAATTATTTATTTAATCTATCTAATAATAAAATAATACTAATAATAATATAAATATTAACAATTAGCATTAATTTACTGCTACAAACATCTCTACAATGACAAAAATGCATGACTCGAACTTATTGTATATTGTAATATGTGCAACGGTTCTGAGATATGAGGTAGTCGAACTGATATTATGCGGTAAAATTTAAAAACGTCTGATTTTACTGTTACTATTTTTGACGTGCTTGCACTAGTTAGGCATTATTCCTTTACTATCAAGGTTGACAGTTTATTGCGTTTATGACGTAAGCTATTTGGACCCTTTTTAAAGGTTAAAAATAAATTCAAAACATGTGTTCAATCTGCATAAGTATCTAATATTCTGTTTCGCTCGAACTTAACTCTTCTTTAGATGCTTGAATGGTTTTGTTTATCTCAATATTCGTTAAAAGTCGAGAAACCTATCAAATGATAGCATATTCGTTTGAAGTGAAATATTATTTCTTTACTATTTTGTCGATTTATTTAAACATATTTTGGTGAGTTCTTAAAAGCTTGCTTTAATCTATATTAAATATAAAGAGACTGTGCAGTAAATGAGTGACTATATTTAAAATCTTGGGTTCAGCAATTGATTAACTCAAGCAAAATGAGGTGAATTATGGTTGGGTGCATTGAATGTAGTATATTATACCTCCTGCTGCTGCAAATGGTAAAATGCGATACCGAAACTACTTCCATCACTACTACTAAGGAGGTTACTGATTCCTTTTACGTCTAGAACAGCTGATACTGAATCTGAAAATTCTAAGATCGCAGAAAAAACTGAACTGATTAAGAATTTAGGACGTACAAAATAGAAAAAAAAATAGTAGTAGACGTCTACTAAGTAGGATAAAAAAAATCAGGAAAATATATCTTAAACTAGGGGAAGAAGCATGAGTAGAGAGTAGAGCGCTGCCCTCCATGCAAAACATATATAAACGCATAATTCTAACTAATAGACGAAGATGTTTCCGTTGCACTGAATATCTATCTAATGATCTAGACAAAATAGTGGGAATAATTTATGATAACCATTTCCTGGCTGCGTTTATATCCTTGCTTACATATTGCATGCCACTAAATGATTCTATACATATTTTACATAACTTGTTGCTTAGATGAATTTAGATACGATAATTATTTTAAAATCCCATTATGTAAAGTAACTGTTGTATGGTTGCCGATCTACTTGTTAACGCAATTGTTTCAGTGCTTTGTATTGCGTATGGCTACTGTTCCCAATCTGCATGAAAACACAGACAGCATCTAATTGTGTTAATTTTTGAAAAGCGCTTTTGAAAGTTATTGATACTACTGCTCAAATGTATGCCGAAACTCGTAAAATTAAACAAAATAAACACTGACTCATATGGGAATTTATATTGTTATGTTTAGCAGATTTAAATAAATTTACATTACGTGAACAATGAAATAATTGAATTTCTTAGAAATTATCTGAAAATTTCCCGATAAATGCATGTTGTTAGAGCAACAGCTAGCGACTGCAGCCATATGTAAAGCTGTAAATAATTGTTCACATCAACCAGAATTTAACCACTACTGCGCATGCTTTGGAAATTCATTCAGAAATTTTTGGCGGTATTTTTGCTCTCTGTTGACATTTTGCAACAAACAACAAGCTTAGAGGCAGGTACGTTATCAAGGAAGAAGAGCTTAGCGAGCGATGACGAACAACGAAGAACTACGAAAGCAACACTGCATTCGTCCTTATTAGGCTGAACGAGGACATAAATTCAGTCAGTTATTTTCCAAACGTGCCGGCGTGCAGATCATAAATATTCCGAGAAAGCTGCTTAGGTATTCTTCGAATGGTCAATTTATAAATTGCATTTATCAATTTATACGCGCCAATATACATTATTTATACCTACATATGTATACAACGGTGTCTGGATGTACCTATACTTATTGTTTCGGATAACGCGAGCTGTATATGAAGAAGTTTGTGTTTAAGCTTACATGTGTGTATATGTAAATATATACAAGTGTGTATAAATTGTTGCTTTACCTTTAACGGTGCACCGGGTGTAAAACGCATGTGGGTATGGGTGTGAGAATAAATGCGTAAATAAATTGAATTTAAATACTTCCGCCATTGTCGGCTAGGCGGGAGGTTGCAAAGACACTGGGAAGTCGCTCAGGGGTTTTATAATGCAGTTAACTAAGGAAACGAAACAGACAAAGCGGAAACGAAAGAAGCTGAAAAGGCATAAGCAGTGGCGTTAAGTCCCTAAAGGACGTCTCTCAAAGAGTGCAGCATACAGTTCTTAAATTCAAGAAAAGTGAAAGCCAAAAATAGTGAAATTTCGCCAAATTTGTAGCAGTTTAAAGTAATAGGAAGAAATTTCAAACAAAGCACCGTTGTAAAAAAATACTTGTTTCACTGGTAAAAGAGATAAAATCAAGTAACACAGAAACAGTAACGCATGTAATTGTATGCCGTGTTATCCTGATCTGTGCGTACATATCTCTTCGTCTACGTGGCCAATAAAATGGAAACGCGTTTGCAAGCTCTGTGCTAACGACCGTCTGGGGAGCGTGGGTGTGCAACACATGGAAATTGCGCGACATACCAACAGACGCGTAGCGTATATTAAATTGCGCGCGAAAAAGTTAGCTATGCTCAACTGAATTAAAGTTTTGTTGCTAGAAAAGTGGCAAAAACAGTAGTGTAATCGACAACAGATTTACAGCAACACCAATTTGAACACCGTTATTTATTTTATGGTGTTACGATTAAGCAATGAAGTAGTTCCAAATTTTTTCAGTGGTGACAATGAGTCGAATCTCAAAATATTCCTTATATATTAAATGTACATACATATATGTACATTTAAGGAAAAATTATTTCGACTGCCAAATAAATTAACCGCAAATGTTTGTTAAATATAATTTCAACAACTGAGTATTCATGCTACCGACTATGTGTTTCTCTATTCATGTAATTGGACCTAAATTTGTATTTAGAAGTTAACATATATAGAATAATATTTGAAAGTATATATAAAGTTATAAAATGCTTGCCATATTTTTGTAAAAGGGTTACTGAAATGTGGTTATATTTATAAACATATACTTGTACATATACTTAAAGCAAAGTATGTTTAATCTGCATACATACATATATACTACTGTGGTCAAGAAGCAAAGTGAATTTGTTTACAAAATGTAAATTCTTTATTTATTCTTCCAAATCAATTTCATCGTCCTTCAAAGTAATAACCGTCCGATAAACCACACTTTTGCCAACGCTCTTTTCAGTCCTCGAAACAGTCGGAATAAGACATTCTTCGAATCGGTTTTTATCTCCACAATCGTGTCAAATAGTGCTCCCGTATTGGCCTTTTCTGAGTAGTCAAAAGTCGCACGGAGCAAAATCAGGCGAACAATATGAGTCGAGTTTTTGGCAATAAAGTCGGGAAGACCCAACACATATAATATGGTACATTATCGTAAATGCATGAAGGAACCAAGAGTTGTTCGCCCATAATTGTGGATTCTTCAGACGATTTATAACGCTCAAATAATATTCTTTGTGGATACGATTATCACCTCACCTACTTTTTGATCACAGGGTATATGTAATTAACTCATATCAAACTCAAAAGTATTTGGCTTGCTCAAAGGACCGTCGCCGGGAAATGTATTTGATATTCAAAATCCAAACTGACACTCAATCGGAAAAATAATGAGTTTCTGCGCCCACAAATTTTCGAATGATAAAATAAATATATTAAGTATGACAGTCTGATTTTCATCTGAATCTGGAATATAAAATTGATATTGTTTCATAATAACTAAAGCTACAGACAATTTTTGATTCAATGAAAGTAACTAGTATTTAAAGTCTAGATATTAATACAAGGGAAAATCTAAAGTCGGTGGTATGGTATCTTCCAAAAGCCATCTGCTTTATTCGGACTATATCTAGTCTTCGGGTGTTTTTCTGACATGAAAATATTACCTGTAAGGTCTTAATCCAAAACGGTAGGACGCTGACAACGCAAGATGTGTCAATGTTTACCGCGTAAATTAGTAAAGTTGGCTGAGTAAACATGCAGTAAGCATGTAAACTTCTTATACATACACACATATATGTCATTTCAGTTGATACTACAATAGAAAAAGCGCACAGTGAGTAGGTACTTCCTATTCAGGCGCTCAATTAATGCAAAGTTTTGACATGCTTTAATTTAAAAACATCTCTTGATGAACATTGAACAATGGAAGGTGTTTTGTAAAGTGAGTTACATATATGTTCCCACGCACTTACACATGTGAGCACCGCGATATTTGCAATTAGTGAAATCATGCTCGAATCCTCCAAAGCGTTGTAATGTTGAAATTAACGCAATTTTTTAATTTTTATTTATTTTTTTTATAGTGAACACAAAATAAGTTAAGCACTAAAACAAGGTTGGAGCTTATTGCTGCATAAACCACAATTGCCATTGAAAAAACAAAAGCTTTTGTTATTGTTACTGTTCCCAGCATTATACCGTTATTTCCTTTAATTTTCACCAACGCATTTTTGAAGCGCTTCTGTACAACATTGAGATGTACAATGTGCGACAAAAACTGCAAATACAACACAAACAAAACCAGACGGTGCACCAACGGTGGCAAGAGCAACAACAGCATCAGCAGCTGCACATGGATGTTTAATCTTGTGGCGGTTGCCTTATTAATCCAACATGTCGCCTGTGTTGCAACAGCTAGCGTTCATGTTACAGGCGAGGCGACAACATCAACAACACTGGTGTCGTCAAAGGCGCTCACCGATCCCCTACCATCCGCATTTGTACCCACAGCCCTGCTGCTGAGGCGCCATGGCGATAACGGTAGCAGTAGCAGCTACAAAAACTCACCCACACAGTCTGATTCCGGGAGCCGCGCTACGAGCCGTCACCTCAGTGCCATTGAGTCCAGAGTCGGCGGTGTCAGCAGTATCGTTGCCGGAGATGATGGTGTGGACTTCGCTGCCTATGTAAATGGTGAGTCTCATGCAAATCCATGTAAGTTTACATATATACGAGTTCAAGCAAAATACAAACAATATCACATATACACAAGCAAATCAGTAGTTGCAAACCTTGCATTTTCAGTGGATTTTTGGTGAAACTCTTAGTAAATTTTACACTCCCTCGCTTTACATATTCGCCAGAATTTGTACACACTTATGAACACTTACACTTTGCCCAAGGTTGCGAAAAGAAAGTGCCAAAAATATATACGTATGCATATTTGGCGCGTTTTCGTTTTACAAATGTGAGCATTTATGGTGTAGCTATAAATTTTTGAATGGCTTTGTTAGCTTTTGGAGCTGCAAAGTTCGCCGATTTAAAGGAATTTATTATGGCAAGCGTATGAATTTATTTGGCACAGTAAAAAGTAAAAAAATCAGAACATAAGAATACATTTTAAGATTTATGCAATAAGTAAAGTTTTTTGTTGACTAACTGCTATTGCTACGGAGATTCAGTACAGTTGACAATTCTCTCGCTTTGAAAAGAGGTTGGCACATTTTATTTAAAACAGCCGGTAACCATGAGGGCCATGCTTTTTATTTCTGATACATAGGGTGGTCGTCATGGTAATATTTTACTTCGAAAGTTCGCCCATCGAAAGCGCTATTGTATTGTTGCATTTATTTTGCTGTTTCAGAAAGCTTAAAAGGCGTTGATTAGCGATTTAGCAATAAAATAATGAAACGGTAGTGCAAACGCCTGCAAAAGGTAGTACACGAAAAGCCATAAAGTGCCAAAACTGCCCCTATTCTGTGCACTTGACAAGTTCAACAGCTTGCTAATTTGTCAAGATTGATAATTTATCACATAATATAAGTGCCATTAATAAGAAGCTGTGTTCTTAACAAATTATAAAGATGTGATATGCTCTTGACAGTGCCTTTATAAATGAAATATCTGTGTTCCTATTTTTACTCTGGCAATTGTTGAGGCGAATGTTTGCCAGTGCTAGATTCTGAAGCCTGGCGCGCATTTCGCCAGGTCGTGCTTGGTCCGATGATGTTTAGCTTTGCTGTCAATATTATTGAACTAAAAATTAACAAAAAACCTTGAAATATATGTAAAATTCTATGTTGTAGAAGAATCCAATCGATCAGAAATCAGCTGTTTTGCTTCTGTTACTTTGTTCACCACACACGTAACCCTTAAGTTCTGAAGCTTTATATATTATCAAGATTGCCACAGAATAACAAGAAGCTTATGACTTGATAAATATCTTGATAAATTGTCAATATTCTGTTTATATGTCAAGTGCACAAATAAAGGTCTTAGTCCTATAGTTTCGAATGTACAGTTTTTCCCAGACAGGTTGAATAAAAGTTAGATTTTTTCAGTTGGTCCGCATTCTGAACAATATACTCTGACATTTATAAAATGGAGAGAGTTAAAGCTATTGAAGCCGAAGAAAAAATAAATGATAGCATTTTTGAACAACAAAGTCATCAGCCAAAAAACGAAAGACGTCATTATTTATCGACGATTAAACTGAAGAAAGTGTTGGGATAACTTCCTAAGAAGGAACAGTTTTTAGACAGTATAGAAAATGTAATTGGAATTTGTACTGCAACCTGTGCTGCACTGGATCAAGGTTAACCGAGGACTTTACTCCTTTCACTAGAGAAGTCCACATTTTGTGCAAATGTGTCCCTGAGTATGCAGCGAGAGAAGTTTATTAATTGCTTGGGTTGTATCCTCCCAGTAACAATTTTACTTGGCGCGGACTAGTACTTTTCAGTCAGGGCTAATGGTATAAAATGCAGTTGTCAAAATTAATTTACCCCTATCGACCAAACAGCCCCAGCTAAACGTTCTATGTTAGCTGTGAGCTCATTTCCAGCTTTGCCTTTGCAATCTGTTACCCGAATTATGAGAACCCGGTTGGAAGTTGAAAGAATAAATATTATTTAGCATTTAATGATGGTCTAAAGATTCACCAGAACTATGAGACTACAATTTGATGCATACCTTTACGCTGTGCAGTACAATAGAAACACCGCTTATAAAGCTGTTTCGATGTTAGCTTTTATTGTTTTTTATTATTTTTACTTTTATTCTTTAATGCTTTTGAATCATTAAAAGTTGAAGCCACAAATCACTCGGCACATAGAATTTGTGATTTCATCCGCATAAGGAATGCTTATTCAAATTAGCTCGGGGCAACGCAAAGTGGCGTGAAAATGGCTATCTCATTCACCCACTCGTACTAACAAAACGAGCATGTACATTGTGTTTCTGTAACTGCAATGCGGGTATTATTTGCGATCTGACTGCGACCTGAAACTATCGCCACTCAATTTGCATATTGACAACTGCTAATTCGATTTCAGCGCAAGCTACTGGATGTATATAAAAACCTCACCACATTGCAATTTCAAAACAAATGCGGTGATGATAATGGCAATTGTGGGGCCAACAGAGCGTATACGCAACTTGCGCGTTCAAATCAAATCAATTATATCTGCACATACTTATATATAAGAAGGTATACTTAAACAGAGATATTCGCAATTTGGAATGTGGCTGTGATATTCTAATTAGTATAATTTGGTTTCCTTTTAGTCGAAAGATGTAAATTTTGAAGCACTAATACACAGCAGGCTTATACCTAAATCTCATCGAAAAAAATTGAAAACACTTGCTTAGGTGCGAATAAAGCTTAGATTTAGGCTTTATTGCACTACGTCATCACAAACATCATTAAATCGAAAATTGTAAATAATTCATGTAAGTAATCTCTAGGGTATATGTATATGTAAGTACATACGAGTATTTGGATTGCGATAGATTAGCGCCGTGTCACAGTGACCGCAAAATGCAAAAAACATCAAATCAAACTCAACTAAAAGCATACGGATGTGTATGCACGTTAAGGGAAAATAAAAGCTTAACCAAACACGAATTCGGTGTCATCGGTGGCTTCAACACTTATTTTGAGTGCATTGTTGCAACATCTCCACATGCTGGCTTGTACAAACACCTTCAGCAGACTGGCTAAACATCAAAATCCGCCATCACACAGTGTTTCGTTTAGTACACATACTCTAAAATTGAATTGTCAGTTTTAAGAACTTAATTAAAAACTTTGAAAAGGATTTCACATAGTGTTAAGAGTTCGTTCAAATTTGCTCCTTAAAATAATATGTGGCTTTAAAGCTACAGAAATGAACCAATTCGATAGAGAAACATTAGTTCGACATGCGGAAAATTCGCCCAAATTACATCGCTTAGATAAAAACTCATTAGGGAACTCATAGCAAAAAAATTTCGACTAATACTGTATATACCAGGGTAGAAAATTTTAAAAGCAAATAAAATTTAAACAAAGATCGAATAAGAAAATATAAACGAAATTTACGAGCAATCTGAGGTTGGAAAGAGAAAGGGGAGGAGCGTGGCTGAATTTTTACCCGTTAAAATTTTTTAACTGGCAAAATTACGAGTCCTATCGCTAAGTTGTAGGTAATATAGCTAAGTTGTAGGTAATGAAAAGCTCTATAATCTTTGTATATACACCTTTTTCATATAACCTTAAAATTAATGTGGAAAATTCACATATCCAAGTTTTTTATTTTTATCTTCTACCAAAAAAAAAAGTCTTTCTTTTTTGAAAAAGTCAGTAGGCGTTATGTTTACTGAAACCTCTGCTTCTTGATGGTATACAAAATATATAAATACATTACTATGTTATATTTTCTTAGAACATGCAAATATAACCCCATCATAGTTATTTTTTCTTCATCTGCTTTTCGGGGTTTTTAATTTTTATGGTAATAAACAAAAAGCCATTAAAATTATTATTTTTAGTTTACTTGCACTTATATGCAGTTTCAAGAAAGAAACGAAAAAACTAATTAATATTTGTACATTGTTAAATAAAATTTTTAAGATAAAAATCTATTTTGACCACATAATATTTAATGTTGTATCTATAGGTATAGCAAAGGTATATATAAATATATATAAACATATATATGTATATAATTATTATTATACTTTAAAGTCAACATCGAAAAAAGTATGTGTGTAGATATACATAACAATATAACACGCTTATTATTTAAACGGGGATATCCATAAATGAACACAGATTGAGAATCGACTTGTTTTAACTATTTATTTAGCTTAAATTTAAGTAAAATAAAATCAAAAGCATCGAGCGTTCTCAAATTAAATTAGATTTTAATTTTTATTAAAGTCGATTCCTTACTGTGTTCTTGTCAACCAATTACCATGTATGGAAGATAAACACTGTGCGTCACTCCATTTACATACGTCTAATATTCACCACTATCACTCACCATTTATTTACGCAAACTGATGTGTTTACTTTTCACATCACATATTTAGTTTGTTGTTGTTCGTTTTTAGTGCTATGTAGTTTTGTCTAACACTTGTTAATACATACACATACAGGTAGCATATTTATTTAACTAGAGAAATGTTTGTAAAGTTGACACCATCTGTTACTAGACACAGACTCATCATTTTGCCACTGAAAAGCTATACCATTATAAGTCTTCGTTGACTTACCTTAACTGAAGTGGCTTTGTTTATATTTAGTGAAAATCATTCCCATCGCGACTGGCAAAGCTATGTTATCCGATAGAACTCGTGAGTTCGAAAAAGATTGCCATTCTTTGAGAATTTCTAAGAAATTGCTTTCGTTTTCTTTATTTTCGTTAATGAACTGTATAAATAATAATAACAAATTATAAAGACAAATGAGTCTATATGTTCTAAGGGTGATTAAGCCAAAATTTTATGATAAACTTTTGAAGTATATCTAGTAGTGTATGAAAGTATACATTTCAATCTCACCAGCACAATTTGTTACTGTGCATACTATATGTACATACTTCTGTATATACATTTAGTTTGAATATAATAATAACATTTTATTTAAATATGTTAATATTTACGTTACTCTCAACGCGTTCTAAGCTGGTATTTGCCTACTCATATATTTG